ATTTTGTATCACTGGTGTCTGTACAAGATTAGTCTCAGCTGAGTCTATCCTTGGTCTAGAGTATACCTCTATTCACTGACCCCTGTCTGATCATCTCAGGTGTTTATGTGTTTATCTGTATAGCCTAGTGTCTGGCGTTAACGGCAATGTAGTATTGTGGACACATTGGTTGGTTTTAGCATCTGTCTTCTATCTCTTATGTGCACAGTTCGGTGTCCTCTCATTTCCCAATGTTATTATGGTGGTCATATATCCTTCCCATATATCCCTCCCCCTACCCATGTCAGCGGGTAAGCCACAACTAGCCCTAAACTAATCCCTCCTTTTCCCTCCTCATCCTGGTAACCTACTTGGTGAATTCCCTTTCCCAAGCAACCCTTCTCTTTCATTTTACAGTAATGGGCTCATACAGTACTTGTCCTTCTGCGATTGACTTATTTCACTCAGCATAATGTCTTCCAGGTTCATCCACATTGCGAGATGACTCGCGTATCCCTCATTGTTCTTTAATGTGGCATAGTATTCCATTTTGTGGATATACCATAAATTGGTTATCCACTCATCCGTTGATGGGCATTTAGGTTGTTTCCATCTCTTTACTATGGTGAATTGTGCTGCAATGAACATAGGTGTACATATGTCTGTGCACTATTTCTCACCTCGTTAGGATATATTCCTAGTAATGGAATTGCTGGGTCAAATGGTACTTCTATTTTCAGTTTTTTAAGGAAAAGCCGTATGTTTGCCACAATAGTTGTACCATTTTACAATCCCCCCAGCAGTGCACAAGAGTTCCAGTCTCTCCACAACCCCACCAGCATTTGTCACTATCTGATCTGTTGAACTTTGCTATTATTGCTGGGGGAGATGATATCTCATTGTTGTTTTGATTTGCATCTCTCTAATGATTAATGATCACAAGCAATTTCTCATGTGTTTGTTGGCTGCTTGTATATCTTCTTTGGTGAAGTGTCTGTTCAAGTCTTTAGCCCATTTGTGAATTGGGTTATTTGTCTTTTTGGTGTTGAGGTGTTGAAGTTTTTTGTAGATTTTAGAGATAAGTCCATTGTCAGATATGTCATAAGCAAATATTTTCTCCCAATCTGTAGGTTCTCTTTTTACCCTTTTGTTGAAATATTTCGATGTGCACAAGAATTTAATTTTTAAAAGGTCCAAGTCATCTAGCTTCTCTTCTATCTCCTGCACATTCTGGGTTATGCTTGACAGTCTATTTATGCCATAAATTAGCACTCCTAGGTTTGCCCCTATTTTATCTTTGATGAATTTTATAGTTTTGGGTTTTACTTTTAAGCTTTGATACAGCTTGAGTTTGTTTTTGTGTATGGGGTGAGGTATGGGTCTTGTTTCATTTTTCTGCAGGTGGATATCCAGTTTTGCCAGCACCATTTGTTAAAGAGGCTATGCCTTCCCCATTTAATGGGCTTTGGGCCATAGTCAAAGATCAGTTGTCCATAGATGGTCTATGTCTATGTCTGAGCTTTCGATCTGTTCCATTGGTCTATCTGTCTATCTGTCTATCTTTGTACCAATACCATGCTGTTTTGACTACTGTGGCTATATAGTAGTTCTTAAGATCTGGGAGTGTGAGACCTCCCACTTTGTT